CTAGTGGAAGGTGTCCCTGCCCATGGCAGTGGGGTTGGAACTGGATGATCTTTGAGGTCCCTTCCAACCCAAACCGTTCTGTGATTCTATGAAAACTCACAGCTGCCTCCCTGCACCCTGGCAAACCTCTCGCCTCTCCGTAACTCGCAGAAAATGGCAGGATTTCTAAAAAAGCTGCATCTCCCTGTCTCTGGGAGCCAAGCTCTGCCCGCACGTCGCTCCGCTCCAGCCAGCACGTGCTCGTCCAAACACAGCTCTTCCCAAAATACCTTCGAAACCACTTGGCAGTCACTCCTTCCAATAAAAAGCAACTTCGAACGCGAAACCCAAGGCTGGGCTCGCGGCCGGGGCTGCTCACCTTGTACAACCTGTAGTAGTGCACGGCCACGTCGTCCAGCCGGACGGCCTCCTTGATGTACTTGAGGTGGGCTTCGGAGGCCGTCAGGGCAAACTGGTCTTTGTGCATGTTTGGGACGTGCTTCAGGATGTAATCCTTGCCCCTCTTCGCAACCACCTGTTTGGAGGAGAAGAGAAGCTCATCCAGGGCAGCTGGCTGCTCCGTGCGGGCTCGGAGTCGGCTGTCAACCCCAGCGCTCCTGGGCAGCGGTGATTCCCAGGGGAAAGGGAAATCAGAGCGATACACTCCATATATGCAAGCGGGATTTCCCACTGGGAAGGGCACGTTTGCTCCGCACGCCCATCCCGGGGGGCTCACCCCACCAGTGGATGCCCATGCCAGGGCAGGGAGAGCTGCAGCGTGGGGGTCCCTGCGTGGCTGGGAAGAACACAGAGTGGGCAACGGTGCCCAGAACTTTTAGTAATTGTCCCCTTGCCAACTGGCACCATGTTCTTGCTGCAGGGACGGGGCCCCTGCTGAAGGGGTTCCCTGCCAAAGTGGGGGTCCCAGCTGGGATCTGCCTGTGCCATTACTGTGCCATATGGGACCGCTCCCTACTCCGCTCCTGCGCAAAGTCATCGGATCAGCATCACCCCGGCTCTGCCTGCCAGCCAGAGGTGACCTGGGGCTGGGTGTCACCCTGTACCCTGCCTCAGTTTCCCTCCAGGACTATCCCAGGAGCTGCCTACACCCGTGGCCACCACCACCCGCACAGAGGCCGCCG